AAAGACATGGAAGAAACTTAGAAAATATATTACTAAATGAAAGAAGCCAGTCTGAAAAGGCTACAAACTGTACGATGCCAACCAAAGGACATTCTGGAAAAGGCACAGCTACAGAAACCATAAAAAGATCGTGGTTTCCAGGGGTTTGGGGGGGGAGGGAGGGATGAGCAGATAGGGCACAGGGGATTTTTAGGGCAATGAAGTTATTCTGTATGATACTACAGTGGTGGCTACATGTCATCATGCATTTGTCAAAACCCACAGAATGTACAACATCAAGAGTGAACCCTCATGTAAACTGTGGACTTTGGCTGATAATAATGTGCCCATGTTGGTTCATGAATTGTACCAAATATGCCACACTGATAAGGGGTGTTGAGGGTAGGGGGGTACATATGTGTGGATGGGGAGTGCTATGTGGGAACTCTGTATTTTCTGCTCAATTCTGTAAACCTGAAACTGTTCTAAAAAAATAAAGTCTATTTTTAAAAATAAAATAAATAGATGCAGAAAAAGCATATGAAAAAATCCAAAACCTGTTCCTGATAAAAAAAAAAGTCTGATGAATTTATTTTAAAAAAAGATACTACCACTAATAACTGAGTTTGGTGAGTCTGCAAAATATAAGATCAATACATAAAAATCAACGGTAGTTCTGTATACTAGCAATGAACAAGTGGAAACTGAGATTTTTAAAAATTCCATTTACCTACAACAGACAAAAGGTAGAAGCAACCCAAGTATGCACTGGCAGATGAATGGATAAACAAAACGTGGTCCATCCACATAATGAATATTATTCAGCCCTAAAGAGGAAGGGAATTCTGATACCTACTACATGGATGAACCTTGAGGACATGGTGCTCAGTGAAATAAGCCCGTCACAAAAGGTCAAATGCCCTGTGATTCCACTCATATGCGGTCCCTGGAGTCTTCAGATGAAGAGACAGAAAGCAGAAGAGTGGGTGCAGGAGCTGGGGAAAGGGACGGGGAGTTGTTATTCAATGGGGTGCAGTTTCAGCTCAGCAAGATGAAAAGAGATGAAAAGTTCTGGAGACAGATGGTGGTGCTCACTGTACCGCGGTGTGAGTGTACGTAACACCACGGAGCTGTATACTTCAGAAGAGTTAAAAAGAGCAAATTTTAGATTGTGCATTTTACCACAGCTAACAATGTGAAAACTATGAAACCACACACTGTTGTGGAGAGAAATGGAAAAGCCCCCTTTTCCTCCCCGCTGCCCCTCCCCCGGAGTGCCCCCTTGTTTATTTTCTGACACAGGTTATTCTAGTGACACTGCAGTCCTAACCCTTGATCAGCTATGTTTCCTAAGAGCCCTGGTTCCTCTTCATGGGGGCGGTCAGAAGCCAAGGCCTGGGGGCCAGGGGTGCTCGTCGCTCCTGGGGTGTCACTGCTGCGAGGCCCAGTCCCTGAACTGAAAGGGAGCAGAAGGTTCAAACTAAGTCACAAAACAGCAGCTCCATCTATGACAATCAAAGGAACCACGGGGTAACTTTCAGCAGTGCGCTCAGCATAAGAGGGTGGACTAGCAGTTCACACATCCTAAGAGTCACTGACGTGGGGAGGGTGGCGGCCCTCCAACGGGCTCCACTTCACACAGCAGCTACAGCTCCGCAGCAGGAGCCGTGAGCACACCTCACGCAGAGAACAAAACTCCCCAGACCTCGACGCCCCCCAGGCCCCCAGGGGCCCACCAACATGACCACACGTCACAGTGCCAGCCACATGTTGTCCCAGCCAGAAAACCAGGAGCCCTGCGGGTCTGAACGAAGCTCAGCTAACCCAGGCAAGATCTAAAGCCACTACGGGACAATCTCTCCCTGGGACTTCAGGCACTCTGTCTCTTTAAAGCATTCCTGTGGGTTCGCTGGGTCTCTCCTGTGTCCAGGGTGAGCGTCAGGGAGAAAGAAACAGTCCCCACTGAGCCCTGCAGGTCCAAGGGGTCCCGAGTCCAAACAGAAAACTAACCCCCAACGCCGCTGTTCCACAGCAATCCAGATGTCCTGGCAGCCGCCAGGAGAAACTTAACTCCACGTTTCAAACGGATCTTCGACTTAAACAGTACTTACGTTAATCTTACTTGCTTATTTTATAATTTCTTATGAGATTCTTCTTTGCCTTTGTGCAACTATCATTTGCAAAGTCATGTTTCTATGATTACCAGGACTGCCAACATTTTGTTCAAATTCAAATTACCTACAAGGCCTAAAACCAAGGGAAAAACAGCAGGCTCCAGAACACCCCTCTTCACACTGACAACAGGATTGGCCGCACAGCCAACCCTGCACCCGCACGGGGACCCTGCCCGGGGCTTACTCATCTGCTCCTACAGCTTTTCCTTAAAGTCTCGTCATCTTCAATGAAGCAGTAAAAACACGTAACTTCACAGCAGGACGGGGGGGAGTTGGGGCAGGAGCAGAAGGGAATCACGAACTTGTGATTATCTAAACCACAGCGTGTGATCATGTGCAACGAACCCTCACAGGATGATTCTGGAAGTCTACTACAACACTTCCTTCTTCAAATTATCACTCTACTCCCTTCTCAAA